ATCATATATCATGGATATATTTATTCATTTAAAACAAATTAGTTTAACATTTGGTTAATAAAGTTTAACGTTTTTTTTCTTCTTTGCTCTTTCGTTGTTTCTGTTTGTTTGTTCGTTCTTTTTTAGGTTATTTACACAGTTTATTTGATTTTGTTACGATTGGCTTAAACAGAAATATAACAACAGCAAAAACACAAAAAAAAAAACTGCTACTGGGACTTGTTATTGAATAATCATATTTATGACCAGGAATGACATATCTTTTTGGTAAACATTTATATCAATTGAATATTATATATCTACACACGTATTTGTTGCAAAACTGATATGGAATTATAGCTTTTATAGAAAATAAAAAATGTGAAGGTGGTTTTAATTGAATGGGATGGTTGTTTTAATTAGAAAAGGTGGGAAGTTGAAATTAATGATAGTCATCAAATACAGTGTGAGTAGGTGAGAGAAGCGACTAAATTTTCAGAACTGTATTCAAATTTAATTGCAATTTTTTAGAGAATAAATTTTAATATATTTGTAATTTGTTGCAATAAATTCATAAATGATTTCGCATTGTCAGATATAACGTCGAGTTTATAACTGAAATTTTATAGAATTAATAATTGAGAATAGAATTGAGTTCCACCTTATGAAATATGTATTAACTTGCCAAAATATTGAACATTTTAAAATTTGTAGCTAGTTAAAGGGTGAAAAAAATCTTGACGAAAAAATGTCAATATATTTCCATGTTTTGACACAGCTCCCATTTTAGCCGATGGTGCTGTAATATGATACTCCAGGTTCTTGATATGTGAAAGCCATCTTTGCAGACATTTTTCAATATAGGTTCAAATTTTTGACACAGCTTCCATACAAAGTTGTCACTTCCAGTTTAGACATTTTAAGGTCCTAGGCGCATATTCCCCTTGTGGTTAATTAAAACAGCCAGTTTTGTGTATTTTGACTCATTTAACTTCTACATGGCTTGTAGAATATATAAAATGTCGTAGGCGAATTTGTTAACCTCAGTCTGCAATTTGATATTTCACTTTCTCAAAGGCGTTAGTGCGAAAACGGTCATTGGGCCGTTTTTCTTCCAAAATGAAAATGGTCATGCTGTTACCATCAATCAGGAGCGTTATCGTGACCTGATGACCAATTTTGCGTTATCGCGACATGATGACCAATTATTCGTCGAAAGCGGCAGTTCTGGTTTCAGCAAGACGGCGCTCCACCGCACACCAGTCGCATAACAATCGATTTTCTGAAGAATTTGTTTTTGGGCCGTTTGATGTCGAAAAGTGGTGATTTGGACTGGCCACCGCGTTCGCCCAATTTGACACCGCCTGACTTCTTCATGTGGGGATATTTGAAGTCAAAGATTACGTTAACAAGCCAAGGACCGTAGGAGAGCTCAAGGACAACATTCGTGAAGAAATAGCCGCTATTCCGGCCGAAATGTTGGCAAAAACGATGGAAAATGCAGCAAAATGCAACAATACGTCATCAACGCCAAAGGCGGCCATTTGAGAGATATCATATTCAAAAATTGATGTAAACAAATCTAATTGGAACAAATTAAATGATTAACATTGCCAACCGCCAAATTTTTATTTTTTTCTTTGATTTAAAAAAAAAAAATATGGGTCCGTCGAATATGGGCAACCCTGTATACATAGACTTTTTAAGATTAGATCATACGGTAAACCTCGATTCTGTTTCTATTTTCATATTTTAGCCCAGTGGACTTGCAAATGACATGCGCCAGATAATACATCTTTTGTAAAGATAGAATTATGCTTCACAGTACTGTTTTGCCGCACAACATAGATACCGAGCGTGAACTGATAATGCAAGATTTTCAAATCCACTGGAATAACAAATGAAAATATTACTGAATCTGTTAACAATTTTGAAGCAACCGAAACTAATACCCAGCGGGTCGTAAGAAATACTAAAGAAATTTTGAAGAAAATTCGATCGCGGTGATGAATGATGGATCTATCCCTTCCTCGAAGACGATACAAATCCAAGCGTTTCGAAGTAAATGATAGCTTGTTTCTTCGGCAAAAATGGTCATGTGGCATCTGTTCCATTGGAGGGACGTAGGACGGTCAATTCTGAGCGGTACACCACCATATATTGGTCTAAAGTTTTCGGAAAAATTCGAAAACAAACAAGGGAAGAAGAATCATCGTCGCCAGAAGATGCTATTGTAGGTGCTTTGGAGGTTTGTCAATCACAGTGGAAAGGTGCTTGAAAAACCTCCAAAACACCTACAATAGCATCTAAATACCTACGACCCTCCAATGGAACAGATACGCTGGCTTACTGATTTTATATATTTTTTATTCCTCTTCCTCTCCTGCTTGCAATTAAACAAATTTCCTATTTTAGGTACATATATTGAATATCTACCTCATGGAGGAGTAGTTTTGTGCGATGTCAATACTCCTTCGTCAGGTACTCCTTCGAATGCCGTTGGAATTTTTGGATCGGAAATCATGCCCGCCGTCGAAAAAATGAAATATTTTTAATTAAAAATGAATTTTTCCAAAACAACAACATAATGTTGTCAATTCAATTGTCTATCGAGAATGGGGGATTCCCTTTAAAGAAAAAATCCCTCTTCGCTGAGAACTAAATATGTTTTTCTTCTGGTAAAAATGTAAAAAACCCGGGTCAAATTTTATATCCTCCGCCATGAAGTGGATATAAAATCGATCGGAAAATGTGATTGGACTAATTGCAGCCAGGAAAATTGGGCTAGAACGGTTGAAAAACTTTCAAAAAATTCTCGAAGTTCTGAGTAATGATGGGGACGGTTATATGAGCCTATAACTAAACTTGGACCGAAAATAACAAATTATTGAAAAAAGTGTTAAACTTCCCCATATTGGGGGTGCCGTTATATTGGGGCTACAATTTAATGAGGACACAAAATATCAAATTGCCGGCAATTAGATTGGAAAGTCTGTCCAAAATCGTCAAAATACCGAGTATTGGGGGGTGGCGTTATATGGGGCTAACTGAATCTTGAGTCAATATTAATAATTTATAGATAGAGGAGATGTGCTACACAATGAGAACCCAAAATCCCATATTAAAAAATCCAAAATCTTTAAAATTTCGAATATTGGGGCGTACCGTTATATGGGGAGAAAACGTGGACCGATATATCTCATTTGCAATACCAAACATCCTAAGAGCAATGTCGGTGCAAAATTTCAGAGCTCTATTTTAAATATTACGATCTCTATTGTGATTTCAACCGACTGGATAGCGTAAATCGACATAGAATTTTATTCTGAACAAGAACATATTTACTTTGAGGGGTCTCCGATGAATATTTCAAGGTGTTGCAAACGACTTGACATATTTAATATACACTCCATGTTATGGTGTAGGGTATAAAAACGTGTCCAAAATTCCCAAAGGTAGGGTACAGGGTATATTCTGAAACATGGACCAATATTTATAATTTTTGGTAAGCTATTTTTCTTCAAAATGGAGATTGAACAAATTAAATACCGAAAATTCGGAGGGTACCGTTATATAGGGGCTGTACAAAAACTTAGACCAATATTGGGTACTTTTGAACTTGAGAACTTTAAATATCATATTATAACTGACCCTGAAATAGGTCAATATTAATAATTTTTTGTAGGAAGACATTTCTATCTAATGTGTCTCATTTTCAATACAACGCATCTTTATGGGGAATCCGGTAGTGTTTCCAGAATGACAAATTTGGTATACATTCTACCTTATGGTGGAAAGTATAAAAAATCATCCTCATCACAGTGGACTAAACATATTATTCTCTATAAGCAAAAATGCAACCTCAAGACCTTGGATATTTTCGAAAGTATTTTTTTGCATAAAAATATAGGTCGATATCGTAGATTTATATTTATAATGAGAAACCTAAGCTGAACCCTTAAGCTCAAGATGGCGATATTTCTATATTCTATAGGAGAAAATGTCATCCTTAGAACTGAAGACATTTTTAAAGGAGATTTGTTTAAGATTTTGGCATATTTAAAAAATAATTTGAATAATGGGCACAAGATATTTAACATCTAACAAATCGCACAATTTCATTATAAGGTGACATTATCAAATGAGTCGTTTATTTTTAAAGTGGTTCAAGCCCACTTTTTTCTTATATTAGATATTTAAGTTATTGTGTTTAAATAAATATTTAAATTTAAAATATTGTTAAATGGTATTAATTTTGTTTGTGGCTTTGTGCCCTTTAATATGTTAAAATACATATATACAAAATAAATACGTAACATGTTTTGTAAATTTTACTAGAAAACCAAGATGTGTATAAAAATCTAAAATGGATTTAAGACACTTTCAAAATAAACGACTCAAATGTTGGATCTATATTGACAACTGCAATAATATTTTTAATTGGTGGGTAATTGAAATGTGAAACAGAAGTATTTAAATTTTTATATGCATTTTTGGTACCTCAGTTATTAAAATAAGTTATGTCATTCCTGTTCCTCAATAAAGTCCCTCATTATTTTTTACTGTATTTAATAAATCAAATTAGAATAAATAAATATATGAATAAATAAATAAATAGAAAATTGAATAAATAAATAAATAGAAAATTGAATAAATAAATAAATATTCTTAGATCTAATATTCGCACATTTATCACTTAAATTAAGGCAATAAATAAATTAATTAACAAATAATTATTTTGAGTTTTTTTTTAAATAAATAATTGTTTCTGCATGGAGAAGAAATAAATAATTTCAATAAATAAATAAATAAATAATTCTTTCAATAAATTAATAAATAATTCTTTAAATAAATAAATAAATAGTTTTTTTGCAATAAATAATTCTCTCAATAAATAAATAAATATTTCAATAAATAATATGTTTTCCTTTTAAATAAATAATTATCTTAAACTAAAATAAATATTTTCTTAAAAAACAAAAAAATGTTTCAAATCAAAATGTATCAACATTTTTTCTTTCGCATTCACATATGATATGGTTGACAGAATTGATATACCAATCGCTGGGATCTTTCGGTTTTCTTCATAATGCCCTTCTTGTAGTATTGACGTATTGAACGTGACAATTTATCGTAATTCATGGCCGGGCGATTTTTACGTTTTCCCCATAATTTCGCAACCCTAACAGAATCTTCAATTTTGAAAATACCCTTACTGCGATCCATCCAACGTATGGCGGTGCCATTGATATGTGGTGCAGAGAGTAGTTCTTTCAGAAATTGCCACAAATGTATATGAGATCCTCCGTTACGTGCTCCAGCTCGTTTTATCGGTGGTACCATTTGATTGACAGCAACAGCGCCACCACCACCATTACCCACACCATTGATTGCAGCACCTTCTGTGGTCATGTACTGACCGTTGACGTCATTTCTAGGACTGGCCGTTGTGTGATTATCGTTTGGAAGAAAATCATCTTCATCTATAAATAAATAAATTTCAAATACAAAATATGTAAAAACTAGTGAATGAATAAAAGTAATATTTATGATTTATACATTTGAAATTATATATATTTTAAAATTTAAATAAGTTTTTTTTTTCTCCAACAATTGACCCTTTAGTATATTGTCTTCATATAGGGTTTTAAATATTTAATTTGTTATGTTATGAAATGTGCTATTAAATTTACCTTCGGTATCTTCTTCCATATCTTGGCTATATTGTGCAGCCATAGAATTTTGCGTCCACATTTGTTGCTGTTGTTGTGCACAGTTGTTGATTGAATTAATATGGTAATTGTCGGAGTGAGTCAACTTCCATATTTCCAATTGAGCATGTAGTTTTCCACCGCCCTGAAAAAGGAAGAAGAAAAACAATATAATTTTTAGTTTAAATAAATAAATTACAAAAACATCTACATCTATGTTGAAATTAAACCGTAGTGGGTTATGTTTTTATACCCTACACAACTATGTTGTCAGGGTATTATAGCTTTGTGCAGTCCCAAAAGTTTGTAACGCCGCGAAATATTTAAGTATACCGATCGTCATATCTCGACTAGCTGAGTCGATCTAGACATGTGTGCCCGTCCGTCCGTCTGTCCATTATAATTTGTAAACACGATACAGGTCACAGTTATGGACTAATCTTCACGAAATTTTGCATGTAGGATGGGTTCTGGCCAATGAAGACTCCTATTGTTTTTGATAAAGATCGGTTAATATATGAGGGATGAAGTGGACCAAAAACTTTATTTTTGTCCAATTTTCTGGTCGCTCCAGAGGCCGCAATTATGGCCCGAACTTGCCGATTTTTCACATGGAGATAGGGGTCGGGCAAAAGAATAAGCATGCCTGTTTTATAAAGATCGGTCAATATTTAGCGGTTCAAATGGACCCTGATTTTTGTGTGAAAAATTACAATATTTGTAGTCCATGGCGTATATATTTACTCCTGAGGGAGATAGATCCGAGAAGTTGATAGTATATCAAAGAGGAGTGGTTGAACTTTAAATTGATACCAATCATATTGTCGTAGGTACTCGGATGCGGAAGTTACACTTAAATATTTACAGATGCTTACGTATTCATATATTATTTAGTAACCTATTACCACACTTTAGGGCGGATATATAGCCTGGTCGCTTTGAAATGTTCCATGAGGTTGCAGTTATGGTCAAGGACAACGCCTAAAATGTTAGGTGATGATCAGATAATAATTTTTCGGATGAAGTGGACCGAAGACTTAATTATTTGTACTTTTTGAGTCGAAAGCCGAACATCACAACACAACCTATGGTAAAGGGAACCTGGATAAATAATTAGAGGGGCTGTACTGATTATTAGTAACATTTTCTGACCTCAAGCCAGTCAAAAGTGTGCAAATATCGCGAAATATTGCCCTATCTCAGAATATAGAACCACAGAAAGTTAGATTTTCATGGAAGTTGTGTAGGGTATCATATGGTCGGCCCCGTCCGACTATACTGCTCCGTTCACTGTTTTTTTTTTTTTGTAACAGTTAAATTGGAGATTTTTCACATATAAACTCGGGTCCTGTATTTCGTAAATTACCATTGTTAGGGAAATTTGGCATTTATCGACAATTCCAAAGGACATTAAAATGCAATCGGATATTTGCTATAACAAAACACCGAAGTGCATTCATATAAGTATATATTTATATTCTGTTTTAGCCAAATCCAAGTCCTGTATGTCTTTTAAAATCACTATAGACCTCGCAATATTTAAGGTATAACTTTGGAAAAATACTAGAATCACGTTTTCAATCAAATTGGCTCTTCCTACCTGCAAATTTTCTTATTCTGAAGGGTTTATACTCATTTTTCTACCGAAGTGGTTGTACTATGACAATTTAATATACCGAAAAGTTTCGATATCGGTCTAACTTTTAACATATCCCCTATATAAGAGTACTTGTCCTATTTTTCGTTTGTTGAACGATTTAGCAGAATTTCCTCGTCGAAGTGTCTGTGATTTGACATTTAGGTTCTCTTTGGATGAAAACCTCTTTCGATGTAGGCCATCATTTGGTATAGCCCAATATAAAGTAGTAGTATTTTGAAGGTTTTATCCCCAGTGTGTCTGTAATTTCTTGTGAATAAAAACCCGTGGGCGGAGCAGTATAGCCGAACGGGGTCGACCATATGAGCTCTAAGTTTCTGCAGATCCATATTCCGACCCTGGGTAATATTTCGTGATATTTACACTCTCTTGGCCGATTAGAGTTCAACAGACTACGGGGGCATATTCACCGAATAATTTTTTCCTGGGGTAAAAAATGACTCCAAAAATTACTTTTTGTGATGTTCGGCGACTAGAAAACAGGCGAAAAATAAAGTTTTCGGACCATTTCATCCCCTAATATCATCTGATCATAACCGAAAATTATAGGTGGCATCCTTGCATAACCCGAATTTCATGTACAATTTCAAAGCGATCAGGGAAGTTTCTGCCCTCTAGTAAGGTAATGGTGATACCAAACAATATCTGGATGTGTACAACCTCTTAAGTATGTACCCCTATCCGAGTACATACAATAATACAAGTGCTATCAATTTATAAGTCCGCTACTCTTCATGGTTGTACTTCTCCGGTCTTTGTCCTTCTGGATTAAATATATAAGCTATAGATGCAAATTTGGCCATTTTTTTCAAACAAAAGCGTGGGTTCATTTGATCCGCAAAATATTGACCGATCTTCATCAAAACAATCATGTATATTCAAAACCCTTTTCTGTGTAAAATTTAGTGATGGATATAATTTTGGCCTCTAGATCGACCATAAAAAGAGACAAAAATTGAGTTATTGGTCTACTTCTTCCTCTAATATTAGCCGATAATTACCAAAAACAGTAGGGGTCTTCTTTGGCCAGAACCGTCCAGAACGTCCAGAACGTCCTTATGCAAAAATTCGTGAACTGCGGCCTGTACAGTGCTTACAAATTATAATGGACAGACGGACGGATGCTAGTCGTAATATGACAATCGATATACTAAAACGTTGGTCTAGGACCAATATTTCGCAGTGTTACAAACTCTCGGGGCCAGGCAAATCTATAATACCCTTACAACATAGTTGTGTAGGTAAAATGTTATAAAATGTTCATATTTTTGCATGGCTGCCAGACAAAGGTTCCACTCAACATTCCTAGCGCACATTTTCACCCTGAGTGTATGTAATTTCCTATTTACTTTTCCCAAAATAATCACACTGAGGTGCAGGGTATTATGGGTTTGTGTATACATACATGTAACTTTAAAAGGTCGAATTAATGATACGTGAGTGAAATGAAATTTGGCAAAGAAAATGGGTTAAATTTAGATAATGCCTTTATGTGTATTTTGAAATGATGCTCGAAATACCCAAAAATTGCCTGATTGCCACGAAGTTTTGCACATTATACCGAATAGAGTCTAAAATGACTGGCATTAACTTATTCTTAGGTCAGAATTTCATATTGCTCTTATATACATTTTCAGCCGATTTTATGTAAAGGGTGCACGAAACTCCAAATGATTGTGAGATCAACACTTAACGTAGCGTACTGGATTAAGCAAATATTGACGTATATGCCTAGAATGAGATATGGTTCCCCTATGCATATATTTTCGATCGTTGGTGCACCAAATACTCAACGTTCTTCATATTGACATGTATTTTTATACAGCACTCCTTGTGTATACCCATGGTAGAGTAGGGTATCATACCGTCGGCCCGTCCGACTTTAATCTTTTTTGCTGGTATATTTGATTTTGACATCCTCATATTTCGAATTTCAACTTATTTTTAATTCAAAATCCAAAAAAAAAAATTTGAAGTTCTTTAATTAATAATATTATTATCTACAGATTTGACCCTAAAATATTAATGTAAACAACCATAGAATAACTTTTTAAATTTAATATAATAATATTATTATTTTTTCCTACACATTGTATTCTTTTAAATTCATTTAAATTTTTATATAAACAAACAGCAAACAATAGAATTTTTATGCATTAATTGAGCTATATTCACACACATCAAAACAATCCTCTGCAATGTAGGCTGATATGCACAGCGTTAGCATACCATCCTCTCATACTTTAGTGCAGAGAGTGTCATAAAACACATCTAGAATGTGACGTGCATAACATGGATCCTAATTTACAATTCATTCGAATTTAATCTTCACTTCCACAGCCACACAATGCCGGAAAATGTTAACCAAACATTTCGATATGGTGGGTGTATATGTAGTCAGTGCAAGCGTTGGTTGGTTCCGTGGTTCGATGATTCAAACCAACAACAAGAAGAAGTTATTTTTAACCCTGATCAGAGAGTGTTGTTATTGTTGTCGCTGTTTACAATTTACAACGTCTTGGTTTGTTGTGATGATGATGACGATTATGACAATACTGATGGTAACAACAATGATTGGCCCTCCTACACCTCTCTACCCAGTATATTCTGCTAGCAATAACATGGCTGTTGTTGTTGTGGTCGATGATGACGTTGAGGACGGCGGGCGACTCACTTTCACCTTGCAATGTCGTTGCTGGTCGTTGGCTCAGTTTTTGTTTTGATTTTTATTTCATTCAGAAATCTTAAGTCTAGGCTGGTGTATTTATTATTATGGCTTGCCTAGAAGCAGATTTGTATTGTGCCTTCGTTGCCTCCTCTGGTTAATGTACTTTAGGGTTTCTACATTCAGCTGCTGTTCGTAGCTATAAACAGATGTGCTTGCAGTAGGTGCATTGCAATTTTTGCCTTATCTGTTTGGTAGCGATGAGAGCATTCTATTGTTGCTGATCATTGCTGCACTGCTACTGCAAACAAATAAACTTGCCTAACAACCTAAATGTATGGTTTTTGTTGCTTCTGGAACGAGGGTTGCTGTTTGAGGTGGTGAAGTATTTCGATTTGAAATAGTTTTTCCAAACAACTATTAGGAGGAGAAGTTTTTTCGGACTGGTAATTGACCCTTTTTGAACCATTTAACCCAAAATGTTGGATACGAACTGCATTATGTTATAGAGCTTGATATAAGTAATAGGATTATTATTCACAAACGCGGTTGATATAAGTTGAATCCATTAATATAATACTAGATTCCATTAAGGTAGTACTTGGAGGTGACTTAATTAAAGACTTCCAGAGGTGTCGCGACTGACGTTTTCGAATAGTTCCTTAACTGCAGTAAGTTTTTTTAATTACTGGAGTTTTGCACAAACATTGCTATAAATTCTAGGATGTATGATATTGCAAATAGGGTCCGGCATTTGAACATAATATAGGTCCACATTTTGATAGCTCCCATATAACGGTATTGCCCTATTTTCGGGCATTCTGAATACACAGAAAATGATCAATATAGGTCCATGTTTCGAAGGCTGAGCCATGTTTTGGAATTTTCCCTATGTTTAGACCAAAAACTCCCGTCCCATTTTCTGTACATTAAAGTCGCATTATAAAAGTTGTATTTTCTCATTTCGGATCATTTTGAGGGTGATAAACATGTTTCCAGAATATTTTCGATATATATCGCATTTGTTGATAAATTTTCAGTAATTTGGCATTCCGAGTTTTTGTAGAGCAACAAAATTTTTTACAGGCATTATTCCGCTAAATATTGGTCCTAGACACACCATTTAGTACACCAATCGGCATATCTCGACTAGCTGAGTCGGTCTAGACATGTGTGTCCATCCGTCTGTTCATTATAATTTGTAAACACGATACAGGCCACAGTTTTGTATCGATAGTAATGATCGTCGGTTCTGACAAAAAAGACCGCATTTTTCAACAGAATTGACTATAAGTTCTTATTTTTAATTCACATTGAGTAGCAAAGTAGCATTCCTGCTAAAAATCATCAATTTGGTCTACTCCATATAACGGCTCCGGATGTGTTATACCCATTTATTTTTGCACAGGCTATCTTCATTAGTTTAAAATGGCTCATATCGGTTCAGATTAAAATATAGCTCCTGTATATAATTTCGGATGATTTCATGTAAACGGTCAGACAGTGGCTCTATAGGGCACCGGATTGAGTCTACGATGACGTATATTTCAATTCTTTTTTCATTCGGGTTTAGCTCAAATTTCATTCAAATGATTCAAGTTTGTCAAATTAACATGAACTTTTGTATAGACAGCCGAATGTAATGTAAAATGACATGTGTACAATTTGGTTTATATCAGTTCAGATTTAAATTTACTCCTAATACATAATTACGAAAAAAATATGAAATTTGGATTCCAACTCGCCTACCGACATAATAGGACTTCTAAATCACTCTGCAGATCACTATTGCGAATAATGAACAATTTTACTTTTTTCAGTTTTTTTTACAAGTCTTATGAAATTGTACACGAGAAACGTTTATAAAACATATGTCCATAACATTTCAATCCGTCCAAAACTTCATTAATTTCTATACTACTATCGTATGTGTTAGGCGCATCGTTTACCTTGTCGTTTTCACTAAACAACCTTCACAACATTCTTTCTTTCTTAGCCTTCAGTAGCCATGACCACGGTTACCAAATTTAGTCGTTGTTTTTTTTTGTACATTAAATATTTACTTGGGCGACCTTTTTCTTTGTACGTATAGTTTGAATGGCGCACACGATATCACTACAGTGGTGCCACAAATTCCAATTTTTTTTTGGAAAATAAGAAAAAACACACACTAAAAAAATAAATTAGTGCATGTGTCTTAAGTCTTTTGTGTTTGCATTGTTTGACTGCATGCATGCCGTATACATCACGTTTGTATCTTAAGTCTTTACATGTTTCTCCTCTCTCTCTCTCTCTCTCTCTTTCGCTTTTTATTATTCATCGTTTTATTTTGAAAGTAATTTTATTACTTTTGTTTTGATTTACGTATACTTTTGCATCTAACACCCCTCAATTCGCTCATCGCTCTCTTTTTTGTTCGTTGAACATAAAAGAGAGTGTTACTGCTTATTACAAAAAGAAAGCTTTATTTTTTACTTTCATTTGATCATTGGCTTAACACTCTCTTGTGTGTGTGGCTTGTGTGGTTTCTTTGTTTATTGATTTTTGTCTTTCTCATTTTGGCCCAACTCCGTTAAAATGCCGAAAATGACGTCAGCGAAAAGATTTCATAACTTATGTTTTTGTTTGTTTGTACAATTCATGAATTTCTTCTTCTGGCTGTTTTGATATCTGCTAATGTGTGGTTGTTTCTTTTGATTGGGGGGATTAAGGGGAATTTATATTATTATTATTTTTTTTTTTTTTGCTATTTCCATTCTATACACATAGCTGGCAATGGTTAATGGTTGAGTTTTGTGGTTTCTTTTTTTGGTTTATGGCTGCGCCATTTCCAAGTGATACGACCTTGTCTTTTGCAGGGGTGTGTGAGTGTGAACGTGTATGTGTGTTTGTGTTTGTGAAATGCAAATTTGATACCATCTTTAAGATAATTTCTATGTTAATGACTCTATTCGCAGAATTCTATAGTATTTATTTTTTGTTATTTAATCTTGACTTTATGTAATAAATAGTTTATCAAGTCGACATTACTCACCTCGGGTATTCTACGAACGAATTCTTCTTCGGTTAATTGCAACAGTGCCGCACCATTTTCATTGAATTTGTTTTCCAAATTATCAATAATTGGTAAATCAAATTGTTGTATGGTGGATCGTAACCATGCATGAACTTGTTGTGGTGTCCAATCAGAGGGATCTGAAAAATACAACAAATTGGAAAAAAATTATTTATAAATAATGCAGAACTTAAATGTGACCTTCTAGTTAAGCCCGTTAACTTGAGTCATTTAACGCTAATAACAATAATAATAAAATATGAAATACCAGAACACTAATTGGTATGTTAAGGTCATTGTGGATCATGCCAATGTACGTGACTCAAACTGTGGTGAATTCTTTTTCAAGAGCAGTTGGTTAACAGTTTCTCTATGATTCATAATCAATCAATAATGGGAAATCTGGATTGTTTCTTTTTATTTAAACACCATTTTTAAATTGTAAATAATTTTGCTTTGAAATAATAATAAATTGGAGGGTATATAATATTCGCATTTGATTCTCTAACATAAGTAAAACAAAGGAATAAGTCATTAAATTCGGTCATCCACCGTGAGCGCAATATTGAAAATACTAAAAATCGATTGTGAATTTCGTGATAAATTACTGCCAGAAGAAAACGAAATAATGAAGCACAGAACGCCTGTCCAATCTCCCAAAAATATCGAATTTTGAGAAGGTACTGTTGTATTGGGGCAGCATAAAATGTGGACCAAAATGCATTCCAATAAAAAACGTGCCCAAAACCCCCAATAAGAAAGGGAACAGAATTTCTTTAATCAGGTGTAGGTAATCATGTCAAGATCTATAATGGGTCCACATTGTCAATTTAGCCCTATAGCTGTATCAATTTCCTATATTATGGGTTTAATTGAAGAACTGGAACGAACTTTTTATTATATCCTCCAAAAGGTTGGTAATTTTATGTGAAACCTTTGTAAATGGTACACAGAAAGGTGTTTATTTGGGAAATTAAAATACAAAAGATCTCTAAGATTAGGAGGCCGTTGTATTAGAGGCATGTAAATGTTTTGGGTCCAAAACTTTGAAAATCCCGACCCAGTTCGTTCCTACTTTATATAGGGGTCATCCCAAATGATGGACCCAAATTGAAACATTGTTTAAAGCCTCTTTCGGAATATGTTTTTGCACTTTCGGACAATACAGCTAAAACTTTCAAAAAATCGAAAATAACCGGGATTTTTATGTGGGTGCTAAGTCAAAATATGCAAATATAGTGATTTTATACCCTATACAACTATGTTGTCAGTGTAGCTTTGGGCAGCACAAATAGTTTGTAACGATGCGAAATATTGGTCCTAGAACCACCTTTAAGTTTACCCATCGTCATATCCCGACTAGCTTAGTCGATCTAGACATGTGTCCGTCCGTCCGTCCATCCGGCAGTTCATTGTATGTTCTCGGTTGTGGGTAAATATTTGAAGATGTCTATGTATTGTCATATTGTTTAGTATTACTATTACCCATTAGAGGGTGGAAATGTCGCGCTGAAAATTGTACATGAAGTTCTGGTTATGGTCAAGGACGACGCACATAATTTTCGGATATGTTGAGATGATATTTAGGGGGTGCAATGAACCGAAAACTTTATTTTTGTCCGATTTTCTAGACGCTCTAGAGGCCATAATTATATGCGGAACATCACATATTGTCTTTGTGCATATGTTTGTAACAGGCAAAAGGAAACGAGATAGACCCATGGTTCCTTTTGAGAATATGCATAGAATCACATTCTAAGTCGATTTATGCATGTCCGTCTGTCTGTCCATGTTAAATTGTAAACAAAGTACAGGTCGCATTTATGATCCGAATTGGACGAAATTTGACACAGCTCATTTATTTGGCCCAAGGCCGAACCCTATTGAAATCGGGGAAAATCGGTTCAGGTTTATATATAGCTCCCATGTACCAAAGTCTCTATATATCATTCGATTTCCACGAAATTTGGTACAGCGTACTGAATGAAGTCTACAATGATGTGTGTTAGGTTTCGTGAAAATTTGACACAGCGTAACGAATTGGGTCTAGAATGATGTGTGTTAAGTTTCCTGAAAATCGGTTCAGATTTATATATTGCTCCCTTATATATTTTCATCCGATTTAAAATAAATGGTGTACCAAAGTCCCTATATATCTTTCGATTTGTAAGAAATTTGGCATACGGTACTGAATAAGGACTAAAATGAAGCTGTACCGAATTTCCAGGTGGGTCCGATTTGCACAAAATTTTGCACAACTTTTTGAAGATATTATGATATAACGTGTGACAAGTTCTGTTGAAATCGGTTCAGATATAGTTCCTATATACAGTTTCGTCAGATTTTATGTAAAAGGTGCACCAAAGAGCCATGTCAAAACATGCAAAACCCGTTCGGTGAAAAAATATGACTAAAATTCTTCAAATGCTTGAAATGGGACGGAAACTTTTGGTCCGAACATGGTTAATTATTGGAAAATAATGACTATATTTATAATTTTCTGTATATTACAGTAGCTTACGCCTTCAAAACACCGAAAATGGGTTGGATCCGATAAGTGGGAGATATTCTTAAACGTATACTGATACTGATAATTCAGTTGGAAACGTGTCCAAAACCCTTAATTGGTCTGTTCCCACAATAATCTACTAATTTTTACTACGATAACAAAGTTTCCTTTAGTAAAAACTAGCAGATTCTGGCGGGAAATGATCAAATGATATTCCAAAATAAATAATGGATGGAGCGTTTTATGGGGACTATTCATAAAAGAAGACTAAAATTGATCATTTTTTCAACTCACCTTGCGATATTTGCAATTTAGCACAAGTAGCATCAGCCTCACGTTTAGCATGTTCCAATGCCAGCGATATAACCGGTTCGATATTATCACGAACCTCGTCCAGACCACCAATAAACGAATCCAGAGCCAACGGTTTCAGATTGTGTTTCTTCTGGAACGTTGTATCCTCCAAATATTCACGTAATACTTGGTGGTCTGCCGGACATTGGAATAGCCTTTGGGCTGACGGCACTTGCCCACTGTTGTTGTTGGATGGCACTGTGTCTGTGTTAGGGAGGCGGGGATTTTTCAAATCTTGTAACGTTTCAACATCCGAATCGAAAGGTTCTGATTTGAAATCGAAACCAACACTGCTGCTGGCACTACTGCTAGCCGAATGTGGTGTGGGTGTATCACAGCTGGATTCTGGCGGGGAGGGTGGCAAAATGTGCAATTGTTCTTGCTTAATCGAGGGACACGGCGAGCAGGCTGTGCCATACAGAGAGTTGTGCGATGATCCTAAAGATTCATAACAACCGGCAAATTGTGTTTGGGGAAAAGCGTATTCGGATTGAGCGGGGCTAGATTGTGGCGATGGATAGATATGCGCGGGATATGCTGGTGGTGGAGCAATAAGTTGTTGGTGGTGTTGTTGTTGCTGCTGATGTTGGTGGTGTTGTTGTTGCTGATTATTTACAGGAAAATAACTCTGATAGATTTGTTCTTGTTTTATGGTATTCAGGGAGGGGCATGAAGACCACGTCTGTTCCACCTTAATATCGGGTACGGTCAACAATTGTGCGTTCTTGTGATCCGTCGGTGTTTTGTCGAAATTAAAAACTGTCGTCGGTATATTATCTATGTGATTTGTCGATGAATGAGCATTGCTTACTGCCGGTATACTATGTGATGGCGAGTGTTGTTCGACTTTTGTTGTGTTTGTAGCTGTGTCGGTACAGCAATCTTGAGGTAGTAGCGATAGATCAAAATTATCAGTATATGTAGCATAGGGATCGTTCGTAGTGGTTGTTGTTGTCGCTGTGCTGTTGTTGTTGCTAGTCGTAGCAGAGAAATGCTGCTGTTGTTGTTGTTCGAATTTAAAATTAAAATTACTTTGGATTGTCACTGATGCAGTGGATGGGGAATTTTGTACTACTAAACAGCCTGTCTGCGGCATCTGTAATGATAAGAAAATAGAAAAATTGAGATGAAATTTGTTATTATCAATAATATAAATGTATATTTTTGTTGAGACTCAAAACATTTGAAATGTGAGCACATATATAGAGTATATTATTATTAGTTGTCTCCTAGAGCACTGGGGAATGACGAATGGATTTTGTTATTTTGTCTGACAGGTCGTTGATCTTAATGAATATGTTAATTAACACGTTTGGAGTTTGGTGGTGCCAAATGACGACAATAAAATTAATTGAATATTGGTATTGATAGATTGAATGGAACATACAGAGGTTAGAAATTAAAGAAGTTTGGAAAAATGAAAAGATTTTATAGATCAATGGCAAAGAAATGTGAACAGTTTATTTTGTTTTTATTTCAGTTATATGTTTTATATTCCCATCCATTACTTCGGAGGTTTTAGACACAGTTCCTAAACTCATTCGCTGTCGTATAGTTCCACGTGGGGTTGTAAGTATGTTGGAGGGTATCTGAACGATTCTTTGTTGATTATTCTTCGTATCTGTCATGGATGACAACAAAATATAAAGCAGTAAGAAAAGATCAAAAGTCGGACGGGACCGACTATATGATACCCTTCATCACTTTGGGTACATACAAGAGATGTTTATATATGCAATATCATGTAAAAGAACAGACATAGAATCTTAAATATGCGATATACATAGACCTTTGAACCAATTAAACAAACTCAATACACAGATCGTTCTGAAATCAATGAAAAATTGCATGCCAAAAGGGCATACTCGGATTCTGTGGTGTACCATTTGTATAAAATTGAGCAAAATTATGTATGGGAGCTATATATATTAACACATGGATCTAATTGAGCAACCGTTGCATACACCTTTTGGTTTTTCCAACTTTAATACTAAACTCAATTTAATACCCTCTGCCAAATTTCATGCAAATTGAACAAACATGAGCTCTCCGGTGCACAATTTAAATAAAATTTGACGAAAATATATATAAAACATATATCTAAATCTGGAGTGATTTCAAGAACCCTGAAGACACATCATTCTTGCCTCAATTGCAATATTTTGTCCCAATCGGACAAATATTGGGAGTTTGGGGCATCATTCACGTAAAATCGGACGAAGTTATATATAGAAGCTATATCTAAATCTGAATCGATTTTAACAAAACTTCGCATACAGCAGTCTGGATATAATTCAGTAAGCTGTGCAATATGTTGTCTCAATCGGACAAATATTGCGAGTTTGGTGCATCGCTCACATTAAATCGGACGAAGCTATATATCTGATCCGATTTCAACGAAAATTTGCATATATCAACCCAGACCTAATTCAGTACGCTGTGCAAAATTGTGTGTCAATCGGAAAAATATCATTCACTAAAATAGGACGGAATTATATATGGGACCTATATATAAAAGTGAACCGATTTCAACAAAACTTCGCATTGATCAGTCTGGACTTAATTTAGTACTCTGTGCCAAATTTTGCCCCAATCGAACAAATATTGGGAGATTGGTGCATCATTTTCAAAAAATCGGACGAAAATATATATGGGAGCTATATCTAAACCTGAAACGATTTTCTCAAATTTCAATAGGGTTTGTCCTTAGACCAAATTAGTGACCTTTGCCAAATTTTATGCAATTCAGATCATAAATGCGACATATACTTTGTTTATAATGTAACATGGACTGAAGACATGCATAAATTGAATCAGAAAGTGATTTTATGCATATTCTCAAGAGGAACCATATAGTTTACTTTTGCCGGTTACAAACATATGGAGAAGGGTATAATGAATACTATGCTAAAAATTAAGTTTGAATGATTTTGGGATATTTTGGGATAATTGGGCGCCACTTTCAATATCACAGCTACAAAATGACTTAATTTATGTTGTTAATTAAAGCATATATTTTTTAATATTATATGTATATGAAATTTGGGGACAACAGAATTTATTCAGTAATAATATCGACTTCAAAGACAACGGTTAAATTTTTGTAAGCGTCGAACTTAATCCAGTTTTTTTCGTTGTTTGTTATTTATTAATTTGATTAATTTATTTATCTATTAACACTTGATTTTTTTAACACATTTAGTTTTGCAACTCATTGTTATACCAATTGAAACTAAAAACCAAAAAATATTCACTACTTACCAAAAAAACTGAAGTGACGTTAGTCAATTCGAGTTTTCAGAAATAAAAAAAAAAAAAATAACAAAGCGCCACTTCAAAGCTTTATAAATCATTGACCTTTTGTTCAATATAGAAACCATAACCCCGAAAACAATTTCCAAAACAAAATTATTTCACTACATTTACTACTAAATTAATTTGTTTCTATATTAGTGATTATAAATATATGTCACCTTTGTTATTAATTAGACTATTAAAATTACGTGGTAATTATTATTTTATTTTTTGTTGTATCACAATCAATTGTTATTCTCGTTATAATCACAAAAAATATATTTTTTTACATTTTCGTTATATTTTTTTCAAATTAATAAAACAAAACTGTTTCGTTATGTTACACGTTTAACCGGCAAAAACAAACTAAACTAATAAATATGAAGGCTAACATTTATCAAGCTTTTACTAGCTTCTAACTTTGGGTTTTACAGCTAGCGCCAATCAAGAACTAACCAACTTGCCACTCAGCTGGTTCTTCGCCTGTCTGCCTGCCTGCCCGACCGGCCTCTTGAACTCGGGCTTTTGTTGTTAGAACTTTGCATTGTGAAGGAAAAAACCCTAATAAAAATTGCAAAATAGAAACAGAAAAAACCAATATAATAATAAAGCAACAACAACAGCAACAATGTGTATACAATCAAGCTAGCAAAACAAAAACCCCGATTGATGACGTTATGGATGCTGAAAAAAAGGTTACTGTCTCTCGTTTGCTGTTGTTGTACTTTAGAATAGCAACAACTTCACCAGTTGTAGAAGTGACGTTACAAATCAAACGTGAATTTTTAACAATAGTTAAAAATCCCAGACAGGTTGAGTTGATTAAGCTTGCTAGAAAAAAACCCTTCAACTAATTTGATCTGTAATACATTTAATCGTTTGCTATTTATAAATAATTGAATTTTTAATTCAATAATTACAGTTAGGGGAAAAAATGTAAGTCATTAGGTTAAAGACATATTTATCTATACCAACACAATTGTATTTTTTAATTTCTAGGTCATTGTGAGGGACTGGAGATAATTTGTGAAAATCCCCTTATTAGGGAAAACAAACTAAGACGCATAAAGATTATGTTGAACTTTATATACCCTAAACGATAACAAAAACCAATGAGCGGAGCAGTATAGTAGGACGGACCGATCATATGATACCCTACACAATTACCACGAGAATATAATATTATATGCTGAGTCTGGCAACATTTCGCGATATTTGCACCCTCTTGACCGATTATAGACCAACTCCACTTTCTAACCCTGCCATATTTTCCAAATCTTGTTTTCCCTAGGTGAATATTTACGCCATAAAATAAACTTTTTGGTCGTTCTAAGTACTTGGTCAGATCCCCTCTAACGTGTAAAATATTTAACGTTCTGCATATAACAATGGTCTCTAGTGTGACTAGAAAATCTGACAAAAAAATTTCGATTCATTGCAAGCCCTAAATATCATGACTTCACCGAAAACTATAGACGTCGTCCTTGAACATAACCATCAGCGCTACATTTACGCCCTCTTTTAAGGTAATAGTAATACTAAACTATAACTCCCACAACAGAGTACATACAACAATATAATTGGTATCAATTTAACCCTTTCAGTGTTAAAAAAAATTGTCGGAATAAAAATCTAAAATTTTGTATATAAAATCATATAAAGGGACATAGTTTAGAAAAAATAGCAATTGTCATTTTAACCCTTTCTGGGTATTATGCCCGTCAGGTCCGCTAAATACTGACCGATCTTCATCAAAACAGTAATGCTTATTCTTTGGCCAGATCCCATTATTCATGTAAAATTTCGCGATGGTTGGGTCATAATTGTGACCATTTCATCCCCTAAAGATTAAAGGATCATTTCCAAAAGCAATAGGGGCCTTCTTTGGCCAGAACCTGACCTATATGCAAAATTTCGTGAAGGTTGGTCCATAACTGTGGGCTGTATCGTGTATACAAATGATTATGAACAGACGGACGGACGGACACACATGTATAGTTCGACTAAGTTAGTCGAGATATGATCGGTATACTTAAAGGACGGACTAGGTCCAATATTTCGCTGCGTTTCAAACTCTTGGGGCTGTACAAAGCTATAATAACCTGAGAACATAGTTGTGTAGGGTGTAACAACTCAATATAATTGAGGATTGTAGAATGCTAGATGGTAGAACTATCAATTCGTATATTGGAGAGAGTTCCGCGCGGAAATCTGTTAACAGAGGGAAACAACAGGGTACATATCTCCTCTATTGTGAATTTTGGTTATAAATGAAATCCCTGTAAACTTTTATCACATTAAAATAAAGGGTATAGTCCAGTCAAAATATTTGCCGACAATATTCGGGTGATTTCTTAACTCTTTCCAAATGGCCCCAGCAAATGTTTTTGAGGTTAACCCCCAAGGTTCGGCCTGCTCACCTTGAATGAAGTGACATTGGACATCTGATTAGAAGGCGAATGCCTCGTTACAATCCTTGATCAAAAACAAATTTGGAAAAGGTGCGCACTAAGAGAGGTCTAATATCATTTTACTAACGCAAAAACTTCATAGGAAAGAGTTGGGGAAAATCCGAAAATCGTATATAATAACTTATGGATTTGCAACAAAAACTATTGGCCAAATAAAGCAGTGTGCAGCGATAGGCCCTCAGAAGAATGCCTCAAGTTGCCTCCAACATAATACTCAATCTGCTGCCACTGAACCTTTAGGTTAGGTTGCAGGCAACAGGTATGCTCTGAGACTTAAAGGAACAGGAACGTGGCGAACATAGCATCGTAACTTGATTGATAGCCATAACCA